AAATAATTTGTACTAATTTTGTGATCTGTTGCCACAATTTTAACCTGTTAATATTAACTTCCGTGATATCTGGCTCCGGAATCGAATTAATTGCTCTACGAATTAAAAAATGCCCAGGTGTTAGAACTTCTAAATCATCAATGTCCGAAGACAAGGGTGTCAATGGTCGGGAATTTAAAATTCCTTCAATCTGAATCACAACTGTTAAAAACTGTTCAAAGGTCAATTTTGCATTACCTATGACACGTTTGAAGTGCCATTTAAAAGATTTAACTCCAGCCTCCCAGAGGCCTCCAAAATTGGGTGCTCTGGGAGGGAAAAATTTCCATTCCACTCAGAACACAAATAATAAGCTAAAAGCTCATCTTGTTCGTTCATCAGTTTATTTAACCTCTTTAATTTTGCATTTGCACCTACAAAATTAGTAGCGTTATCACTAAATAGTGTTGAACTTTTACCTCTTCGTGCAAAGAAACGTTTCAAGGTAGCTATTAATGCTTCAGATGTAAGGTCTGTTATTAGTTCTAAATGAATGGCCTTAGTAACCATACAAATGAATATACGCACATAAACTTTCTGATATAGACCTTTTCTCTGGTTTTTGTACTTAATTAAAAATGGGCCACAGAGGTCAACTCCAGTACAATTAAATGTAAGATTAGCTGTAATTCTTTCTTTTCTTGGGTAAATCCCCCATGATTTGCTGAGCTACAATGAGATTAGCTTTAAAACATGTTATACAATTTTTTACAATTTTTCTACAAACATTTCTACCATTTACAATCCAAAATTTTTTTCTTATATCATGTAACAAAGATTGAGGAACCAAATGCAAATATTTTAAATGATAGTAATTAACTATTTATGTTTAGATATTATGTTTAGATATTATTGTTAGTGTTAATTTATGTTTAGAAGGCAGAATAATAGGAAATTTTTTTCTATAAGTTAAATTGCTATTTCTTAATCTACCTCCAACTCTCAACAGTCCATTACTGTCAATGAAAGGGTTAAGGTTTTTAATACAGTCAAAAGTCGTTAATTCGGACACCCATAATCCGGAATGATCTATAATCCGGACCTCAAAGCTAAAAACTTTCTGCGCATGCGCCGCGTTGACACATGCGCATAGGCGTTTACGCGTGCGCGTAAAACCTTTACGACTGCTCAGATGCGTGTGAGCAAGTGCAGGATACATTTTTGCGTGCGCGTTTAATGTATAACGGACGGTATAAGCTAAAATTATCTATTTCTGTTAATGTTCATGATTGCGTTATTCCTTAATCTTCGAATTGGATGCGGCTTATTATTTTTTGCAGACTGTAAGAGCAATGTTATAAAAGTAAACTTGAACTTTCGATTATGTCAAATAGAATTTCCGATGCTGGAGCTCCCAAGGATCTACAAAACAAAGTATGTTTCGATGTCCATCAAACAAAAAGTGGAATTGCTGCAAAAAAATGGATAAAGACATGAAGAAGGTGACAGAGAGGTTAGTGAAAACGAAAAAATTGCGATTGACAAGTTAGTCGGTATTCTCGGCACAGCAATTGCGGGACTTGAACAGCGGAACTTTGTAACTGAACAAGAAATTATGTCTGTTTATAGAATTAAAGAGAAAGTTTTATCACATAAAACGAAGCAACTTAAATAACTTACATTGAAAGAAATGTTTAATAAAGTAAACAAATAAATATTAAGCTTTTTTTTTTTTTTTTTTTTTTTTTTTTTTTTTTTTTAATTTTTTTTTTGATACCCTTTAGATCATAATTGTTCTTTATTTCATAAATTACGGTTTCATGTTTTTAATTTTAGAATTTCTGCATGCCATCTTACGAGATTTAAACTGATGATCTATAAACCGGAAAAATCGATAATCCGGAATCGCCGAAGTTCCGACGAGTCCGGATTAACGACTTTCGACTGTAGAACTATCTCTTTGAACAATACCTTAATTTTTAAGATCATTTGTCTCATTTATAAAATACTCAAACTGCACTAATTTTCATAAAGCTTCTTCAGTTGTTCTCAATTCTCCCACTTGTAAATTACCTACCTTATTTTGTTCTTGCTTAAAATTCTTATAAAACCTAAAACAAAAACTTATAATACGAATTAATTTTAAATACTTATTACTGCAATTCAATAAATCATTAAAAATTATTCACATTCAGATTTAAACATGTAGATAGTTCAGAATCAGCAAAGTTTTTAAGTTCATTACTGTTTTTTCAGTAATTGCTTCAGGTATAACTCTTATAGGGTACTCAATCCTTCATTAAGAAGTCAGGCCCGTTCCACCACAGTTTGACTTAGTTGCAGTCTTTTGGCAGCCAAACTTCTAGATATGAGATCTGATGGGTTTTCTTCGGAAGCGATATGATGCCACTGCGCAATTTCAGTCAGTTCTTGTATCTTTGAAATCCGGTTTGCAACAAATGTCTTGAGCAGATGTGGCTCTCTTTCTTTGATCCATGACAGCACAATCATAGAATCGGTCCAAAGGTGAATAGCAGTAAGGTCCAATTTTAACGATGATTTCACTCGATGCATTAGTTTAGCTAATAGCACTGATGCGCAAAGCTCAAGTCTTGGGATTGTAGTCTTCTTTAGGGGGAGACACGCGATTTACTGCACACCAACCTCACTGATGTATGGTTTGTTGCTGATGTTGCTTTACAGTAGATAACTGCTCCATAGGCGGCCTCTGAGGCATCACAGAAACCATGTAATTCAATCTTGATTCTATCTGGTAATAAAATACATCTAGGGACTTCAATGTTGTTAATTAGCTGCAAGGTAGTGGAGAATTCTTTCCATTCTTTAGCCTCCTTTTCTGGCAAAACATCATTCCAGTTCAATTTTAACAGCCATAATTTCTGCATAAATATTTTTGCTACAATTATAACTGGGGAAATTATACCCAATGGGTCAAAGATGCGAGATATGACGGATAACACTTGCCGTTTCGTAACCTTTACGTTGTCTTCGATTTTAACGTTGAAGCTCAAACAATCTTTTTTGACTTCCATAAAATACCCAATGCTTTAGATTCTTCTGATTTACCAAAGGGATATGTTTGTCGTTTGTTTGACACAGTTCAGTAGCATTACTACACCACTTATGGAGTAACATACCTCCACTCTTCAAAATGCCTATTAACTGATTTTGAAGTTCTAACGCAGAACCTAGCGACTCAGCTCCAGATAGAATATCGTCCATGTACATGTCTTCTCTCAGTACAGGTGCTGCTAAAGGAAATTTATCTCCTTCGTCCTTTGACAGCTGTACAAGTGTTCTCATTGCTAAAAATGGTGCACTCACAGTTCCATAGGTAACGGTGGTTAGCTCAAAGTTTTTAACTGGCTTATCAATGCCTTCTTTCCATAAAATCCTTTGCAACTTCCACTGAATTTGGATGGATAGAAATAGCTCGATACATCTTTTGTATATCTGGTCAGTGAAAGCAAAAATATATTTCCTGAATCTCAGCATAATTGAGAATAAATCATCTTGTATCACACCGTCCATTATACTGTATAGAATTTAGAGCGTTTCCTTTGGTTGCCAAAGAAGAAGCGTTAAATACTACCCTCAAGGGAGTCGACTTACTTTTCTCTTCTCCCCTATATACTCCAATATGAGGAATGTAAAATGATCCTTGTTTCTCCTCGCTCTCACTCATCTCAACCATATTTCCTAACTGTTGATATTCTTTTAAAAAATCTGGATTCTTTACCAAGCGTTTCCGTAAGGAATTTAATTTACTCTTTGCAATTTGCTTAGAACTTCCTAAAGTGTCCGGATCCTCCTTTAATGGCATTTTAACAACGTACCTACCGTTTTTATCTCGTGTATAATTTTGTACAAAATGTTTCTCACAAATTAAAGATTCTTTGTTTTTAGGTTTATCAATTTCAATATTGTTTTATTCTCAAAATTTTCTAAGAGTTTTATCTATCTTCTTCCTTTATCAACCCACAATGAACCCTGTTTTCCGCCTCTGTTGGAATACTTCCAGACACGATAAAACCAAAAACTGTATCTTGAAAAATAAGATCAGGATTATTCATTCGAATTTGACTCGGTTTCAAAAGTTTCAAAAAACTCCCGCTCCCAACAGCATATCTACCCTTTCTGGAACATTAAGTCCTTCATCTTCTAATTTTAAATTAGGAAGACCTTGCACTGAAATTTTAATTTTGCGCGAAGGTGTTAAATCAGCAGTTTTGGAATTAGTAAAAGTCCAAATTCTTTATAAAAGTTCCTTCGTTATTGCATATCGAAGCATTAATTTTATGCTTTATTGTCAAAGTAGCATCATTTATTCCCGAAACCGAAATGTTTGTTTTTTTCTTTCTCTAACTGCAAATGCTCAATAAAATTACGTGTCAAGAAATTTAACCAGTAGACACTTCACTCTGTAGACAGCAGACACTTCACTCTGTGTTTTCTTCCCTAGTTATCAATTAAAAAACATACGACGGTTGAAAGCTGTTATAAAATTAACAAACAGAGTGATGGCTAATTGAATTTTTGGACTTTATTAACCAAAAATGTAAAGAGAACTTACGTACGTCTTATTGTTTACATGACAACTTTTAGAATGACAAAAATAATAGTGATGACAGATGCATAAAACATAATAAAACAATAAAGCCACTGGAAAGCTGCACATAATATCAATTAAATGCTCGATTCTCAACAGCCTCCTTCGAGCATGAAAAATATTCATTGTTCATATAGATTAACGTTTACTTATTGACTGATTTGACAGCAATCAACTTCTTCTGGAAATGAAACTGAGGTGCTGGAAGCGCCTTCGTCAGAATGTCTGCTCGTTGTTTATTACTTCTGACATAGCATAATTGAAAACGTTCCTTCGAGAACTCATCTTGCACAAACTTGTACCTTTAGTCAATGTGCTTTGTGCGTGCGAGGAACGTTGGATTTTTGATGTACTTGATAGTACCCTGACTATCAATTTTTAGGATAGGCAATTAGACAATATTAGCTATCTCATTGAACAAGCTCTTCAACCATATCAGGTCTTTTGTAGCATCAGCTGCTGCCATGAACTCTGCCTCTGTCGTTGAATGGGATATGGCCTCCTGTAGCTTGCTTCGCCACGTAATTGCACCTCCACCATAGAAAGAAATAACACCTATTCGAGACCTGCGTGTTTCTGCACAGCTAATGTTATATGCATCACTAAACAACATCAAACTTCTATCGTCTTCATTGCTGTACACAATGCCGTGTCCTATGGTACTGCAAAGATACCTTAATGTTGTCTGTACGATTTCCCAATCAATCTCTGTAGGATTGTTCAGCTTTCGAGACATCAAACTCACTGCGTAAGCAATATCTGGTCGAGTCCCCATCGCCAAGTACAGCAAACTGCCAACTACTGATCGGTATGGAATTTCACTGCTGAGAGGCTTCGCCTCCTTGATCTTGATCATGCCGTCGTCATTCGGTTGACCATAGTTGACCTTGAGACTCGACTTCTTTACTGGGATGTGTGATGTCTTAGCATCTCCATATATCGTTCTAATATCTTTCTTGTAAATGCTTCTTGGTGCAGGAAGAGTGAGCCGTCTTTTAAACGTTCAACTTGTAGACCAAGGAAACAATTTAACGTCGTTACTCGAATGTTAAAATGTTGCTTGAGCTCGTCATAAATGTGAAGAATGCTGCTTTGTCCTGAACAGCGACAATGCCATCATCAACATAAATCGTCATCAGCATCTTATGTCCATAATCATTTCGTATGAACAGACAGTTGTCGGATTTTCTTTGTATCATGCCATGTTTTTTCAGGTCGTCAGTAAACTTGGCATTCCAACATCGTACAGTTTGTTTCAAGCCGTATAAAGGTCGAAGCATCTTGCATACACGCTTACTTCCGTGGTTATAGCCTTCGAGTTGATACATGTAAATCTCCTCAGTTAGGTAACCGTAAAGGAATGCCGTCTTCACGTCAATTTGATATAAGTTGAGATTCTCCTTGGCTTCCGTTGCAATTAGAGCTCGAATAGCGTCATAGCAACACACCGGGCTAAATGTGTCTTCGTAGTCGATGTTCACCGTCTGGGATTACCCTTTTGCTACTAACGAACGGGCCTTGAATCTCTCGATTGAGCCATCGGGATTTGTCTTCACTCTGTAAACCCAGCGATTGTCGAGGATTTTACGTCCGTTAGGTGGCTCAACAAGTTGCCATGTTCCATGTTTGGAATGCGAAACCATTTCTTCGTCCATGGCTCATTTCCAGTCGGCGTATTCAGAAGACTTCGTTGTTTCGTCATATGTTTTAGGCTCTTCCAACTTCAGAATGCTGTTATACACGTCTTAGTCATTAAATCTGACAGGCCGTTGGATAGCTGAACGGTCTCGCAATGTACGCGCGGTCATCTGTGTTGGTTCATCTTCATCAGTGCACAGATCACCAGCCCCCTGATGATTATCACCTGATTGTAAGATTTTTTTTATGTTTTTCAAAGTAGAAGTCGTAGTTCTTGTCCTTCACTATAACTTCCATTGCTATTTATTTGAATATACTTCACCTCTTTCAGAGGTTTATACTTATTTTTACTTGTTTGTCTTTTTACCTACTTTAGTAATGGAAGTTGCATACAATCGTTTAACTTTGTTTTTATAAATGGTAATCTTTTGTAAATTTGTACTTTTTGTAATCACACTTATGTAACTTTGTTTTATTTGTTTTCAATAAATGCCGTCTGTTCTGCCTTGCCGTTTCCGGTATTGGCTAGCGGATGGTGGATTTCTTATGAAGGGAATGGGTTACTCTGTTCGGTAGCATTTAAGCAAACCTTAGGTCAGAGTCCATCTCTTTTCAGTCAGCGCTGTGTGTCTGCATCATCGTGTGCATCTTCCAAAATAAACTTCGTAGCGCTTGATAGACCGGTGTTAGATGCTAATCTTCCAAAATAAACTTCGTACTGTTTGATTGACCGGTGTTAGATGCTAATTTTGAAGGTTGAGAAGTAGGGCCCATTTGCTGTTCATTGAACACTACATTGTTCAATGAACAGCAAATATATCATTTTTTGATGGTATGAAAATGCGATACCTGTAGTCATCACAATAACCAACTAAATAGCACTTTATAGCCTTGTCATCTAATTTACCTCTGTTGACATTTGGTACATGTACAAATGTAGCTGATCCAAAAACTCGAATTCTGTTGATTGCTGGCATGTGTCCAAACCATTCCTCAAACGGAGAGTTTCCTTTGGTCTTACTTGGTCCGGTTCGATTGAGAACGCAGACAGCTGTAGATGCTGCTTTTGCCCATAGGAACTGTGGTAGGCCTGAATCCTTGATCATTGTGCAAACTGCATTCATTATTGTACGATTCTCTCTTTCAACCAATCCTTTTTGTTCTGGTGTATATGGCATAGTGATTCGCAGCTTGATGCCTGCATCATCAGTTAGTTTCACCAATTTATAATTGATAAACTCACGACCACCGTCTGTGAATAGTTCTTTTATATTTATACCACATTTGTTGGTCCGAACAAGAAACTGCTTGATTTTATCCACAGCCTCGTCTTTATGTCTCAGAAATTCTACATGTAGAAACTTAGAGTAATCGTCTTCAATCACTAACATGTATTTCTTTCCACCTCTTGATAAGACTGGCGATTCGAGTTAGTCTGCATGCATTATCTCACCAGACGTTTGCACTTTGAATCGTTTCGGTTTAAATATTCGTCGACTTTGTTTACTGTTAAGGAACATGCACGAACTCAGTTAATACACAATAATTTAATATGTTCGTTATAGTGTAGATTTTTTGTGGCAACAGTGATGTTGTTTCATATATTGCTTTGAGCGTGATAACGCATGGAATGTTATTCTTTTTGTAATGTTTAGAATGCTAAATAAATAAGTTCGTTGTTAATTAAAAATCGTTGTTTTCTCTGCTAAATATGTTACCATTCGTCCGAAGTTATTAAATAAGTCAAGAGATTGATTAATTTCTAACAACTGGCGTCCGGTGAAAGGACGGAATGGCTATTTGAAGAAAACGAAACAACGGTTTGAAAACGAAACATCGATTTCGTATTGAAATTTATCAAGTGAGTTTATGATTTATTTGATTATATCCTTTATTATTTGAATATATTGGACATATTGAATTTAAAATCATGGAACTTTTTATTACGAAAGCGTAAACCTCTAAGGCAATCGTTTACGATTACTGCCAGTGCTTTAGATGCTGAAATTCTAAAGCCTGACGTTGAGGTTAATCAACTCCAAGTATTGAGCTCACAGTTGGAAGAAAAATTCAAGAGATTAGATGAAGTTCAATCACAAATTTCCGAACTTTTGTTGAAAAGTGAAAACGAAAGTGAATATTTGGCTGATTTTGACACGAATGAAACATATCGTGATAAATATCTCAGTTTAAAAACAAAAGTAGGAAATAGAATGGTGAATTCCACTCCTGTAATTACACATGGAACTTTAGAAAATGCCATGAAAAGGAACTTTAAATTACCAAAGTTGGAGCTTCAAAAATTCAATGGGGAGACCCGAAATTGGTTAGGACTTTGGGGACAGTTTAAGAAGATCGACGAAGATGTAAATATAGATGACGATGATAAATTTCAGTACCTATTGCAGGCAACGGTCGTTGGATCCTGTAATACTTCTTTGGCGAAATGAAGCAACTCCAATGATGGAACACAGCAATAACTTTTATTTAACACTAAAAAAATGGCGACATACAAACAAGAAGAGAAAACATATTCTATCATTTAAAATTAAATTACATTCTTCGTGCGAGAGTCGCACGTAGCACTCGAGTCTGGTTTCAAATATTGCCATTCACAAATACCTTAATGTTCATCTATTTAAGTTATTTAAACTACAAGATTTTAATATTATTTAAATCTGTTACAACCTCTCCCCCAACGGAGAGACTTTTACCGAAGGTAAAAGTTCTGTAAATTTCGAAAGTTTATAAGCTCGGCTTGCTCAATTGCTTAAAGAGAAAAGATAACTTATCTCATAAGTTTCCAAATTTTCAGGCCGAAAATTTTAAATTTAAAACAAATATTTTACACCACATTTAAATAGGAAGAAAATGGACAGTGTTCAAATTAGTCTTCTTTTTTTTTCCTTGACGGCGCCTAGATCTCTTCCATGGTGGACCAATTCCTCGGCTATAATTCACAGCAAAGCCTATCCTCAGTTCATCTGTGCCTTTCTGTGACGAGGTCACATTAAATTAATTATTTGCTACGTTATGGCAATATTTAGATATTTGCATCAGATTCCTTTGGTGACAGTTTCATTTTTTTCGCCAACTTGTGTTGTAAGGTGAGGGGCGGATTTCATCAGACAACTGTTGTAAGCGGAGGAAAGTATTGCATCAGACAACTGTTGTAAGCGGAGGAAAGTATTGCGTCAGACAACTAGCGTCTTCACTTCTGTTTGCCTGGGTAGCTGAAGGTATTTTGCGATTGGTTGCCTTCTGACGCTGGATCTTTTTCATTGGGCGGCAAAACTTAACTGTGGAACTTTATAAAAGGCGGTATTTTTTGTCTACTAGAAGGGAGGTGAAGGAGGAGATTGTGAAGGTGCGAGATGGAGATGCTGCATAGAGAAAGACAGTAAGAGTGGAGTAAAAATGCAAACTTGTGGGAGTTTATCGTGCAAGCTTTCTTTAGTCTCCCAGTATGTATGAAAGAAGCGAGTTTCTTTCTCTTTGATGTTGTAGCTGCAAAATTTAAGCTAATCTCATTTTTTTTCCCGGGCTTGGCATTTTCGCCCGGCATCCCGATGAAGAGTATCTGCATGTGTATGAGCTGAAATACACCAAGTCTTCGAAGGGCTGTGTGGAAGAATTGACCTATCTTTTTTGTTCTGAGTGAGGAGGCCTCATATCGTCATGTGACATACCGGATTTACAAGAAAAAAAAAAAAAAAAGGGGGGAATATCTCTTCAGTATTGTTAGTATCCAATAAAGCAAGAATTAAATTTGTTTTCACGTGTTTGTCACTCTCTCGTCACGGCGGGCTATAGACCTGGATCTTGTCCTGGGGTAAGTTGCCACTATATTCCTGTTTATCATAACATGTGACATATACGTTTGCCACCACAACCAACGAAATAATCATTACCACACTTTCGGATAATATTCATTTGTCATTTGCTTCGACAATTGTTTTCTTCGTCTGTTAGTAGCGGCTTTGATATTAAATCAAAAGCCGAAAGATGATGATAACGCTGCATTGCAAAATGATTCTCAATATTAATTTTCTTTATCGTTTTTCAAATTTTCGTGAACATCTTCCACGTTTAATTCTGGTGATTTAACTTCTTCTTCAAATACATCTCTGGATGCTTTATTTTCTTCCATCATCGGTTCAAAGATCTGCTCTTCAGCTATTTTTCTTTTCCTTTGAGCTCTAGTAGAAACGGCATTAAAATGGTATCACTAAGTTTACGTTCAAGTGATAAACTAATAAAATAAGGCAGTTCAGTTTTAACAGGAAGTAATAACCTGATATCACTAATATTACGTTCAGTGATGAACTAATAAAATAAGGCAATTCAATATTAACAGGAAGTAATAAACTGGTATCACTAATATTATATTCAGTGATGAACAAATTAAATAAGACAATTCAATATCAACAGGAAGTTACGTTCAGTGATGAACTAATAAAATAAGGCAATTTAATATCAACAGGAAGTAATAACCTGGTATCACTAATATTGTATTCAGTGATGAACTAATAAAATAAAGAAATTCAATATTAACAGAAAGCAATAATCTGGTATCGCTAATATTGCGTTCAGTGATGAACTAATAAAATAAAGCAATTCAATATTAACAGGAAGTAATAATCTGGTATCACTAATAAATATGTTCAGTGATGAACTAATGAAATAAAAATACGCACGATTATTCGATCTCGGTTGGTGCCTCCAAAATAATTAAGACTGTAATACTTCTTTGGCGAAATGAAGCAACTCCAATGATGGAACACAGCAATAACTTTTATTTAACACTAAAAAAATGGCGACATACAAACAAGAAGAGAAAACATATTCTATCATTTAAAATTAAATTACATTCTTCGTGCGAGAGTCGCACGTGGCACTCGAGTCTGGTTTCAAATATTGCCATTCACAAATACCTTAATGTTCATCTATTTAAGTTATTTAAACTACAAGATTTTAATATGATTTAAATCTGTTACAATCCCCAGCGAAAGAGCTCATAGATAGATAGTTATCCTCCCTCAGGCGCGATTTATAAAGAAGCTATCAAGCAGCTAAAATCTCGATTTGCACGAGACGAATTACTGGTAGAAATCTATGTTCGCGAATTATTAAAGTTGGTTTTGGCTCAAGCTAGCAGAAAAGGAAATATGACTTAATCCAACTTATATGATCAGTTAGAGACGCAACTCAGAGCTATGCTGTATCTCCTTGTAGAGTTTTCACTACCTGAAGATATTCTGAGGGCATGGGAGCAATCTCGCCAGCGTAGGGAAAGTGTTGCACACACTGAAAATTTGGAAAATTTATTGCATTTTCTCCGAATTGAAGTTGAAAGAGAAGAGCGTCTTCAGTTGGCCCGTACAAGTTTTTCTGCTCCAGACAAATTTGACTCGGTTCCAGCCACAGCAGCTTGTATTTATGCAGGAGATTCAAAGAAGAACAGCTTAATTTTTGTGTTTGGTGTGACAAGGAAACACATAATTCTTATGAATGCTTTAAGCTGCACAGCCTTTCATTGGAAGATAAGAAAAATTTACTAAGAAAGAAAAAAGCTTGTTTTAACTGCCTAAAAATTGGGCATGCTGCCGAAAATTGTAAAAGTTCTGTGAAATGCCTATTTTGCAACAAACATCATGTAACGGTGATGTGCAGAGAACTAAAAGGTTCTAGAAATTCAAAAAAGGAAGCACCTAAAGCAGCTAAAGAAACGAGTGAGACTTTATTGTCTAACCAAAAACTGCAAACAACTCTTCTCCAAACTATTATGGTGAAGATTTTCCATAATGGGAAAAAGGAACTTGTGAGAACGCTTTTTGACAGTGGGTCACAAAGATCTTACTTACAGAAAGACATAATAAAGAGACTAGATTTAGTTCCATTACATCACGAGCCTTTGAGCCACAATTTGTTTGGTGGAGTTGAAACTGAATCTCAGGTCCATGGTATTTTTGATATCGAAATACAAGGAACGGAAAATAAATTTAAATACGAATTATCGGTTTTAGATAAAGACAAAATTTGTTGATACAATCCTAGAATGAAACTCACACATAGTATATGTTCTCACTTCGAGAACATAAAATCAAAATCAGTGATTCTGGTAGAGATACACCAGATATCGGATTGTTAATAGGAGCCGACTATTCCGGACTGTTGATGACGAATAATATCATTCCAATTGACAAAAACCGTATTGCCATTGAAACAAAAATTGGGTTGAACCCTAAAAGGCCCAATGCAAAGTCATAATACCTTGCTTGATACCGTCAGACTTTGTTATTTGGATCATACAGAACTATGGAATTTAGAGACAATTGGCATAAAAGATCCGGCGGAAGGGAAGACTAAGGAGAATTTAGACAATGAAACGATCAAAGTTTCCCTAGAGAACATTAAAGTAATCGAGGGCAATAGGTATGAAGTCTGTTTTTCTTGGAAGGATAGTCATCGGATTCTTGAAGATAATAAAGCGGAAAAAAGACTTTTTGCCAATACACGAAGACTGCAGAAGATGGGATTTTTCGAAGAATATGATGGTATTATTAAAGGCTGGCATGAGGAAGGTATAATTGAAATAGCTCCGAATAATAGTGATGCTGGACACTATTTATCTCATCAAGCAGTAATCAAGGATTCCAGTCTGACTACGAAAGTGCGACCTGCATTCGATGCATCATTGAAAAAGAAAATGGGAATTCCTTGAATGCTTGCCTCGAAAAGGGGCCGAGTTTAATAGAAATGCTTCCAAAACTTTTGATACAGGTCCGGCAACATGCAATTGGTGTTACTGCCGAGATAAGGAAAGCTTTTTTACAAATCAGTTTGTGTGCTAGAGACTTTTTGAAATTCCTGTGGTGGAAAGATTCAAACAAAACCGAGAATGTTACCTACAGACACTGTCGTGTCGTGTTCGGCATTTCTTCGAGTCCATTCCTGTTGGGAGCAACGATTTCTTACCATTTGGATAATGCTCCACAATATTTAAGAGGAACGGCACTTCGATTGAAGAAATCCTTTTATGTCGACAATTGTATAGCTAGTTTCGAAACCGAAGAAGAAATAGTCAAGTTCAAAGAAGAGTCCCAAACTCTGATGTTTCCAGGAGGTTTTGACCTTAGAGGGTGGACTGCTGCACCATTCAAAGATTGAAGCATGACTTCCTATCAGAAGATCATTCCAATTCTGGGACTCTCATGGGAACACCAGAGAATGAGGAAATTCTATTGCAATTTAACCCGTTTGACATTTTTCGGAGAGTGTCCACACCCGAAAAGATCTCTGCTATCAGTCAGTTCACAGAGGATATTCGACCCCATTCGGATTTACAAGTCCAAGCTACGTTAATTCCAAAACTCATCCTGCAAAAAACATGGAAGGATGAAACTTTCCTGGGATAAAAATTCTTCCACAAGGTATAGAAAGAGAATTTCAGGCTTATCTTCATTCACTTCAGACTACACTTCTTGAATTAATGTAAAATTTCAAGAAGACTTGTGATTGGACCCTTCGATGACTGCTCTATCTCTCTACATTGTTTTAGTGATGCTAGTAAGGTAGCTTATGCAGCATGCATTTTCTTATGTGCATATTTTGAGGGCAAAACTTCAGTACAATTGGTATTATGTAAATCAAGAGTAACGCCTGCCAAAGAAGTAATTATTCCCAGATTAGAGTTGCTTGGAGCACTTATAGCTACTCGGCTGTACCGTCAAGTCATTGACGCTCTTAAATTGACAAAGTGCCAAGTGTACCAAGCTCAAGCAATCCAGCTGATCTTCCCTCTAGAGGGTGCAATGCAAAAATGTTGCTACAGAGCAGATGGTGGGAGTGGCCGAATTGGCTTAAACAAGAGCCGGATAAATGGTCTCTCTCTGAAAAGTCAGAACTAGAAACTGATGAACTGAGTAAAGAATATGTTGCAATTTCCTAAATTTGCAAGGTGGGAGGATGTTAAGGAACATGCACGAACTCAGTTAATACACAATAATTTAATATGTTCGTTATAGTGTAGATTTTTTGTGGCAACAGTGATGTTGTTTCATATATTGCTTTGAGCGTGATAACGCATGAAATGTTATTCTTTTTGTAATGTTTAGAATGCTAAATAAATAAGTTTGTTGTTAATTAAAAAGGTTTTCTCTGCTAAATATATTACCATTCGTCCGAAGTTATTAAATAAGTCAATTGATTAATTTCTAATATTTACCATACACACATGGCTCACAAAATAGTCCGTCATCGATAAAATCTATACCATTTTTGCTCAAATACTGTTTCACGTAACTTGATGCCCAAGTCGCCGATGCCAAAGCGATAATGGCAATTTTGTCATCATCTTCATTGCCGTCTCAGGAAAAGGAGTCGTCATTTCGTTATTAACCAAGTAGGCTGCAGCAGCAGAACCCCCTTGTGGCTTGACTGGCTTTGCACGTAGTTCAAAGAGTCCATTTGATGAACATGGGGCTTCTAAAAGTATATTATATAGGGTCTCCTTGCGAAAGAAACGACAAATCATATCGTCTGAATCACCAAAGTTCGAGATTCCTCGCTTCATTGCCTCTGAGGCTGATAACAAATTTTTGCCAATTTCTGGTGCGTACAGTACATCAATGAGCTCAATAGATTTTTGACATTGACGTGTGCGCGACGTTTCCAACCGTCGCGCACATGTCAATGTCCCCACAGCCATATGCTGGTATTTTCTGTTTGTTATCGACTGTGATTTCTGCTTGTTTGTCAAAGTGACGGTACGTCTTGAAATACTCGGCTGAATTTATAATGTATGCTCTATCTCCATCGTCTTTAAGCCACACATTTCGGTCACAATCATCTTCTTGACAAGCAAACGCACTGAATTGAGTATTTGCAAAGAAGGTCTCTGTTTTGCCATTCGTCGTGTTTGGCTTGCCAGGGAAAACTGGGCAAAATTTACCAATGTGCCCGGGTTTATTACAACGAAAACAGATGCCATTGAAACATTCACACCATCACTGGTCTTACTAAGTCTGTTCATCGTTTTGGCATTATTTGTTGTCAAGGGTTGGGACTGGCAGACTATCTGAGGTTTCTTACCACCCTTCTCATATTACGTCGTCATTAACTTTTTCGCATCGAGAGAGGGCAAAATCTCAATTCCCCAAACATCGAAAACGCCCGTATCTAAGAATTTCTCCTGGAATGCTTTTCCTTCCCCCATAACAAGTTGAATACTACAGCGCTAACAATAGCCTTACTTAAGTAAAGCGAGAACTTCTTTCTTCGACGCTTTGAAACTGTGAAGTTCCCCCTTGGGACGGGATTGCAACTTCGGGCATCAACAGCTAAACGCTGACAGTAAACAAAGGAAAGGAAAGAACAAAGGAAACAAGGAAGCTACTTTTAGTAGCTTCAAAAGAATGATTGACATGTGATTTAACAACACCTGAAAGCAATGAGTAATGCAGTAATGTGATGGGGGAAAGCACTGGGTAGGAAATTGTTCAGGCGTTTCGGGCGTCCAGCCGATGTCTGAATGCTCGGGCGTTTGGGGCGACTTCGATGCGAAAGAGTTAACCAGGACATATGCAGCAAAAAAGGCTATCGTATACTGTAGCGTCTACCTACACACTGTTCAGGTGGAAGTGTTGAAATCGAAATCGAAAACGAAAGTCAAAAATATCCGTGATTCAAATTCGTCAACATAGCCATCTTTAATTTATTTGCGCAGTTAAATGTCGCTGAAAGCCATAACCTGTTATAAAATTAACAAACAGAGCAACGGCTAATTTAATTTTTGGACTTTATTAACAAAAAAAAAGTAAAGAGAACTTACGTACGTCTTATTGTTTACATGACAACTTTTAGAATGACAAAAATAATATTGATGCCAGATGCATAAACCTAATAAAACAATGATGCCACTGAAAACTGCACACAATAGCAATTAAATGCTCGATTCTCAACAAAATGTATTTTGTTTATTCTGTTTATTATTTGAATAGTTACTAATATATGCCTTTTGAATGAACTCCTGCGCATTAACATTCAAGGTCGATAAGTCATCTTTTTTGGGAATGTTGCACTCAGATCCATTTGTTTTATTTTGTTCCGATGAAGAACATTCTTTCTCCTTTACGATATTTGCTTACTGAAAATGAATAGTTTTGTGGTGCCGTTTTTGACAAAAACAAGAATATTTCGATGGGCAATTTGATACTGAATACATATGTAGACAATTAAAACATAATTTATTAGATTTCACAACCTGTACTCTTTCTTGTACCGGTAATTTTAAATACGATGGGCATTTTTCCAAACCGTGATTCCCATGAATTAAAATACAGTTTTCTGTTTTAACATCTGACAAAAACACTTTAGCTACACTTTTTGAGCTGCTGTACTTACGATTAATATGAGAGTTCTCAGTAAGAGGTTTTCCTCGTGATGTGAAATATAAATCTATTTCTTTACCTAACTCACTAGGTGAAAACCATGAATCACATTGCCTCACTGCAATGTGAGAAGCTGTTCCCGTATCTAAAGATTGGTATAATATGTCTGAAACTATGAGTTGTTTGAGGGTTTCGAAGTCAGTTACCTTCCTTAATTTTAAATAATAATCCCAAGTAGTTACTTAGCGTGAAGCGAACTGCACATGAGTTTCATGTGGTTGTTTAACAGTTTGTCTAAAGTTTTCTAAACACGAATATGGTATTGGCTGAAACTCCTTCAGAACTACTACTTTTACTTTTTCATAATTCTCTATATCCTTATCATGTAAATAGGTTATTATATTCGAAGCTTTGTCTACTAACAGATTTAACAGAATTTCTGCTTTATAGACCTCCGAAACATTTTTTGTAATAAACGCTCGTTCTAATTACGAAAAGAAAAATCCATAACTCTCAGGCAGTATAAGAATTTTTACAGTAAAGGTGCTGATACTTTTTATTAATTGATCTAGTGACTCTCATTTTGTTTCGGTTTCGCTTACACCATTAAGTTTTGTTTCTGCTTTGAGCTTAGCCAACTCTAACTCATTCTTTGATGTCTCAAGTTTTAATTGTTCTAACTCGACAAGTGTTTGCTGTTTTGCTCTTCTTGTTTCCTATTTTCGATAATAAAGTTTGCTATCTCTTTTACTAAATCTTGTTTAGTTTTAAAAATTTCACTATTCTCAATAATATCAGTTAAATCTGCTATAGTCATTTTTTCGTCAACATTTAGATTTATTTCTAAGGTAATAAGCCTGAAATCATCTTTTTTAGCACCCTTAACATTGTTATTTATAAGAGAACAAAGCACAGAATGTACAGAATTGACAAGAGAGGAATCACTTACCTCTGCAGTGGTTCACGTTTGATGAATATCCCTATCCAAAATCAGCGATATTCGTTGAAAAGAACAAACCAGGAATACTGGCAAACACAAACACTCCTGCGTTCTCAAAAACGAAACACTATGTATTCACGCACAAAACTCAATCTTTGGCTCGACGGACCAGATATGTTTGGGTCTCATCCCAAATAACACACTCTATAATAAATTCGCTGGTTCTTACTTTATTAATTCTCATAATTAATTACAATCACTCATTAACTCATACCTGTGACCAGCCCTCCTACACCGTCGATGGCAATTCTCAAACTCGTTTGATCATCACATTACAGATGCGCATGCGCGGATTACATTACAGGTGCGCAAGCGCGAACAAACCCCAAACTTACTACGTGAATCCGTGGCTACGTGAGCGATCCGAAAAATCGATTGCATAGTTTTTAAAATTCTTGAAATCTGAAGTTGAATCTGAAGAGCGGATAAATTTATTAATGGCCGAATTCGGACTTGGAGGTAAAATTTCAGTTAAAGAAAAACTCTATAAGAAACTTCACGAACAATTTCATACGGCTGCTATCTTGTTGAGTACAAAAATCACGAAAAAGGCTGTGTATTTTTTGTAATGGTAAACACGATTGGTTGAACTGTTTCAAAGCGCAAAACATAATGCTAGTAGATAAAGAAAAGATTTTGTAAGAAAAAGGATGCTGCTTTAAATTTCTTAAAGTAGAACCTCGTCGGACAAGTAATATACTCGTACAGCAACAAGTCCAAGAAACGGGACAACTTTTACCTTTTAATTGTGGTAACATTTATCACATTGGAAATGTTTT